AAAAAATAATACTCGAGTCCAATTACATTTTATTTTACAGGACTACCTTGCCAGCATTGACAAACCAGCGGAAGGACAATCAGATTTCAAGTAATTATCTTTGGCTCCGCAAAACCTTCAAATAATCAAAGATCATTTATAACAAGATGTTTTTATTTATAAGTACCTGAGTATGTGATAATCTTGTGACATAATTCGGGGCAGCTCTGATCTTCAATTAGCAATAGCTCTTCAGCAACAAGAGTTTGAGCAGCAGCAGCAGCAGCAGCAGCAACAACAAACACCACAGCAGCAGCAGCAGCAAACACCACAGCAGCAACCAACCATAAATGCTGGCTCAGGATTGATAACAGGTCCTCAGGTAAATGTTATTCAAGTGAAATGACTGAATCTGCTGAGTTTTCTGAAAATAAAAGCAGTTGATAACATCTATTTTTCATCTAAATAAGCAAGACATTTTCTGCTAGTACATCTTTTGTTAAATAAAAAGTGGCACGGTTATTTCGATAATAATTAAAAAAAAGTTATTCGAATATATTTTCAGAAGTAATTCTGATGGGAATTATAACATAATGAGGTCAGTGAAGATAACCATGACTTTATAGGTGTATTTTTTTTTTTATAATTGAAGATTAATTTACAGAGTATCATTTAGGAGTGTGAATTATTTTCTAAAATAAAAATGAGAAGCTTATCGCCTGTTTGTTTGGGGATTAACTTAAGTTATTGAAGGTTCAATTTTTAGTTAACCTCGTTTGTTTGTGTTTTTGCAACAAGAACCTAGGTTATAGGTTAACCTCACATAACTCCCGAGAACCTGGAAAAACCTTAAATTGAAGAACCTACGAAGTGGGGGGTTTCGGAGGTGAAGTTCCCGTTTGAGATAAAATAAGCTAGAGTACTTTTATTCAAACAACATTTATTAGGTTAATCTAGGTTTAACTTATTTATTTCCAAACACTATTTTACGCTTGAACCTAGGCTCACTTAGGTTAACCTAGTTTTTATTAAAACTTAGGTTTACTTAAGTTCACTTTATTTAAACAAAGCGTTAAGGTGGGACGTCCAAAAAAACAAGTGAGAAGCTTAAGCTAGGACGGAGGGAGTATGTTACATTATGTTAAAATCACAACGTAAAAAAATGTATATGATTATTTGCTGCAGGTCTCAAGGTACAGTGCCCAACATGCCACTTCCTCTTCTAAGCAGGATCCCAAGTCATCATCTTCTTCTAAAGAAAAATGTATTCTGATGTAGTATTGTATGGGCACAACCTTCTTGTGAAGATGGGCGTTGTGTGTGCTATGCTGTAAATGATCCGTCTTTTTTGGATTTTGATCCTTCCATTACACAAATACATCCAGTTTAAACCGTTCGGTTTTCTTCTTTGTACATATGTCATTCGTTGGCAGAATTTGTTTCTGTGGAACAGGATTTCTTTGATTAAAAGTAGAATGCACCCGTTTAATCGCACTAAGGCTGTGTTTGCTATTGCTTTTAAAAGCACTTCTCAGCCTTTTTGAAAGGTAAAAGCTGAAAGAGGTGTTTGTAAAGAGAAGTTTTTGATTAAATTTAAGCTGATTTGAGTCAAAAGCAGAAGCATGTAAGTAGATGCTTTTATCTGCTTCTAGGTTTTATAGTAAATAAGTTCAACTTTTAGGGTTATTCTAATACTGAAAATATTAAATAATCCAAAAGTACCCTTTGCCCCACCGCACTCCCCCCCCCCCCCCCCCCCCCCAACGCTCTGCCCAGAAGCTCCCTTCTGCGCAACAACCTTCTTTAGGCAAGGGAATTCGACGGATCCAAACATGATTCAAGAACAGGCTTCAAAGCCAAATGAAATCATACATAATTCAAGAACATAATTAACCTCACCAATTGTCCCCTGTTTTTTTGTTGCGTATTCTTACTCCCTCTCGTGTTCCCCTTGCTTTGGTTGGGTGGGGTTTATCATTTTTCCGATCTGCTTTTCTTTCAATTTTTTAGCTGCTTTGTAATTCCATGGCATGGTGAGTAGCATCTCAATCCGCAAATTAGGGTGGAGAGAAAGGTGGTCGTGGGTTGGGTTTGCCTTACAATCTGGCAATCTCGCAATCTGCTATCCCTCCAATTTTACAAGGATGTTTTTGTAATTTATCAAAATATCATATCACAAATCACTTTTTTATCAAACACTTCAACTTTTACCTTCTAATTAAAATCACTTCTACTTACAAACACTATCTACTTTTACTACAAATCACTTTTCCAAAAACCACTTTACAAAAACTGGCGTGAATCAGGGAAGGAAGAGAATTCTGTATATTGATTCTACTTAATAATTACATGGCTAAGTATTTATAGAACTTACAAGGAGGCATAATAGGGAAAAGATATTTACAAATCTCTGGAAATCAGGGAAAGATATCTACAATCCCTGAAAATCAGGAATTATTTAAAACATATTTTCTTCAACTATTTCCAGCCTAAAATATCTCTCAACACTCCCCCTCAAGCTAAGGAATGAATGTCATCCATTCCCAGCTTGGATACAATCTCATGAAAAAATAGGACCATTTAATCCTTTCGTCAACACATCAGCTAATTGATCTCTCGAGGGAACGTAGGACATACAAATGATTCCTTCTTCCAACTTCTCCTTGATGAAGTGTCTATCGATCTCAATGTGTTTTGTCCTATCATGTTGAATAGGATTATGAGCAATGTTGATTGCTGATTTATTATCACAATAGAGCTTCATAGGTTCCTCTCACTTGACCCTCAAGTCTTTTAAAATAATCTTCAGCCAAAGTAATTCACACATCCCTTGAGCAGCATCCCAAAATTCAGCTTCTGCAGATGATCTTGCCACAACATTCTGCTTTTTGCTCCTCCAAGTTATCAAGTTACCACCCAGAAACGTACAATAGCCAGTTGTCGATCTTCTGTCCACGATTGAACCTGCATAATCCGAATCTGTGTATGCCTCTAGCTTCAATAAGGAATTCTTTTTGTACAAGATTCCTTTTCCAGGATTGGCTTTTAAGTAATGCAGTACTCTATGTGCTGCTTGTAGATGAGACTCCTTCGAGTCGTGCATAAACTGACTGATCACACTCACAGAATAAACTATGTCTGGCCGAGTGTGTGTAAGATATATGAGTCTTCCAACTAGCCTTTGATACATCCCTTTGTCCACTGGTTGCTCCTCTTTGGCTTCACTTAATTTCTGGTTTGAGTCCACAGGAGTGGCAACCGGTTTACAAACAGCCTTTCCGGTCTCTATTAATAAATCAGTCGCATACTTATGTTGAGACACAAAGATGTCTTGTCTAGAGTATGCCACCTCAAAGCTAGAGTGCTAAGAATAGAAAGTTGATAACCCTTTACAATGAAATAAATGCTGCTATTTATACCACCAATGGGCAGTTGGCTACGCTGACGTGGAAGATTATGAATGGCTGGTGCTCCAACCACCAAATCTCCAGCATTAAATGCGCTTCCCGCCAGGATCTGGGTTTCCCGCCTAATTAGTGGGGACGTTCGTCCAGCTGGGGGAGGTGAGTTGCTTCTGGTGACATCGCAAAGGGTAGTGAGCCGTCCGTCCCTTGGCCCTTTGGGGATTTGCCATATGGATTGGGTTGCCTCCAGTGGTTATGGGCTTGGTCTGACGATGTTCGTCGTCATCCTAGTGGTCTGTGGGCCTGATTCACTGTCAACCGAGTAGCCGTTCGTCGGAATGGGCTGGTAAGTCAAGGCCTTAGTCACGACGTCCATCCTTTTCAAGTTGCCTGTCATCTTAGCCCACTCAGTCCTGTCCGGACGTACGTCCGAATGAAAGGGTAAATGGGCCGAACTTTTATTTGGGCCATTAACCCAACAAGGGGCTTCTTAGTACATTCTCTAGATTGCTTTCTGACAGCAATGGGAAAATGGGAGTCATTATCAACCGGGACTGCAACTGTTTCAATGTTCAGAGGTGAATCCGTACTCACTACGTTTGCGTTCTCACGACTCGGGTTGGTCTCTTGGACTTATGTTGGGTTCGAGGCTTTTGCCCTTCTTTTATACACCTGAAGATTCTTTTTATGAACATCATTAACATCACCAGAACTCATAGACTCTTGGGGTTGACAAGTATGGTCAGCTTTAGTGGTGGGAGGAGACTCAGAATCTTGGGCAGAACACTGTGAGTTGACCGGACTAGTGACTGAGTGTGGAAGATCAAGCGGTTCAAAAGACTCAAGTAGTGACTCGGAACATGTACCATCTTCAAGATTAGTTGTCTCCCCTTGAAGATGGGATTTAGGGATATAAGATTTTTTTTTCAAAAAAGGTGACATCAGTCGAGATATAGACTTTTCGTGATGCAGGGTGATAGCACTTGTACCCCTTTTGAGTGGATGAATAGCCAATAAAGACACATTTTATTGCGCGGGGATCTAGTTTTCCTCTATTTGGTCGGTGGACATTTACAAAGGTTGTGCATCCAAATATTCTAGGAATGAGACCATTTGTGGTTCGGAAGTGGGGATAATGGGGTTTTAGGATATCCATAGGACTTTTGTTGTTAAGAACACGTGAGGGTAGTCTGTTTATCAGGTGTAAGGCTGTTAAAACGGCTTCCCCCAGTAAGATTTAGGCATATTCCCATGAAAAACGAGGCTCTAGTAGCATTCAATAGATGCCCATTTTTCCTCTCAGCTATTCCATTTTGTTGAGGTGTTTCCACACAGGAAGAAGTGTGAATAATCCCTTCTTTTTTAAAATAAGGTGATAAAACCTGATTGAAATAATCCTTAGCATTGTCTGACCTAAAGGTTTTTATTTTTACCCCAAATTGATTTTGGATCATGGAATGAAAGCTGGGAATGATATTACTGACATCAGATTTTTGTATCATTAAAAACGACCACGTTACACGTGAGCAATCATCAATTAATGAAACAAACCACCAAGCCCCCGAAACATTAGAAATAGAAGATGGACCCCAAATATCACTATGGATCAATTGAAAAGGAAGAACACTTCTTTTATTACTGATAAGGAATGGGGCACGAACATGTTTTGCTAGTTCACAAACATCACAATGAAACTCAGAAATATTAAAACCTAAGAATAATTGTAGAAACATAATTTGTAAGACTCTAAAGGACGGATGACCAAGACGGTAGTGAAGAAGCCAGATAGTTTCTTTTTTGGAAGAACTGAGAAGAGACACATTCAAGTTACTGGTGGTTTTATTTGGAATCTCCAAGTGATACAGACCATTTCTTTCCTTAGCAAGTCCAATCTTCCTCCCCGAGACCCGATCCTGTAGAACACAATCAGACAAGAAAAATGTTGCACAACACTGAAGATCAGTCATGAGTTTTTGAATAGAAATAAGATTTGCTGATAACTTGGGCACATGTAGAACATTTTTAAGAACCACAGAGGGACTTATATAGACTTCTCCTAAACCTGCCACAATCGCTAATTCTCCATTTGCAACAATAATCTTTCTATTACTTGGACAAGGATTATATGTGTGAAAAAAATGTGAGGAATGTGTCATGTGGTCTGTGGCACCAGAATCTAATATCCAAGAATCATCAGACAAAATTCCAGATGTGTGCAAGCCACAAGAGGTCATTGATTTACCTGTGAGAACCAAAGAACTAGCCCCAGATGGTTTTTCAAGAGAGCTCAATAGACTTCGTAACTTTTCAATCTCATCCTCTTTGAACCTTACCTCATCGCCTTTGCTGCCAAGTTTCTCTTCAACTTTCAGTTGTTCCATGAGATGAGTTTGAGGTCTTTGCTGTCTCCCTCTAGTTCCCCACTCGTTCCCCACTCGCTGCTTGGAGGTTTTCCATTCAGCTTCCAACAATTTTCTCTAATATGTCTCGGCTTCTTGCAGTAAGTGCAACATAACGTATCTCTATTTTCCTTTCTTGAGTTTTCCGTTGCTACACTCATCGGTTGGCCATCCTTGTTCTTGTTTTGATTTTCCCATCTTTTCACAAGAGCAGATCCTTTCATAGCACTCGGCTTTTCTAGCATTACATTCCTTGGACTCTCCTCTCCAAGAACAATCGAGATAGTCCCTTCCAATGAAGAAACTGCCGCTGGAGTTCGCCGCCGCTGTCGCCACCACCGGACTACCCCGTTGTCAACGGACTGTCTTGGTTGTGCAAGAAAACTAGGGGGCAATTAATTCAATTGAGGGTAAAAATGGAATGGTTAGTCCTACTTAGTGAAAACTTTGGGAAATGCACAATATTTAATACATAAGGATCTTAAACAAATTTTCCAACGTTGTTTAACGATGTTATCACCCCGGCCAAATAAGTTTAATTCCTCTTTTTATATTCCCATTACTTGACCCAATGTGGTTAAGCCGTCTTGGAAACACAAATTTAAAATATGACGTACATGCAAATCGTTGATGAAAAATCTAATTATATTAGTTGAAGGACCACAAGAACTCATGTGATGTAGGCATAGCAATAGTATTATTATTGCATTATCAAATCCAAAAGTAAATACCTTTTCAGTTGCATTTTATCTAGCTAAAATTCTTTCAATTAAAATATACTACCTCTGTCCCATTTATATTGGGACGGAAGAGGGTGACACGGTTATTAAGAAAAGTGAGTTTGTGTGGTTGATATTAATTGATAAAGTAAGAATAAAGTAAGAATGGTTTAGAGCCACACAAAATTTGCCAAATATGGTATGAGACAATTTAAGTGGGACTTCTCGAAAAGGTAAAACGGGACAATATAAATGGGACGGAGGGAGTAAATATTATTGTTGAGATATATTATCCCGGCCTACTACTGTTCATGAGCCCAATGCATAACCCCAGTACGGAGCTTGATAAGTGAGACCCATTTTGGCCCATCCGGTCCATGTGGCCCATTTCGGCCCATGCGGCCCATTAGGGTTTATTTGAACCCCCTCCCTCTTTAAATTTATAGGAGGTTTTCCCTCCATGTTTTGGGATCCACTTTTCTCTCTCTAGTTAGTCTCCTTCTCTGCCCTCCCACTTCTCTTTAGAATAGCTCAAGAACTCCATTAATGGGTGAACTCTTGTACAATGTAAATGGTGAAGACTGAAGAGTGTATTAATAAAATGATAGTGGTTTGGATAGCTCAACAAGTCCCGTTGTTTTCTCTCTTTCAGATTAGATCATATAGATTTTATACATTTATTTATTATTTTGTATTGAATTAATTAGTTTCAACGATTATCATCATTATGGTTATCAAGAAATTCACTAAAACCGGTCATCCTCTTATGCATTACCCAATAATTATCAATATAATGCACAGTTACACCTTAGTAATATAAGTGATGGTACTTATTCTTCCAAATATCAGTACAAGTAGTAAGGTGGTCGGGGAAAGAGCAAAAAGTTGACTAATCTATCCTTTTCAAGATTATATTGTTTGGCAACTTCCTTTTTAATAGTTCTTCTAGAATAATTTCCAATGGCTAGATTGAGAATTTAGTGAACCTTGAGCATACTATCGTAAGGCAATACTCTCAGATTACACAAATCTCATTCAACAATTAATTCAGACTTTGCTTTTTTTATGTTCTTCATTGTTATAAACAAAGTTAATAAAAGGTTGAGAATTTGCAAACCTTGACATGTTTGTTTGTGTCCACTTCTCCTTGTCCTCGCCGCCTCCATGGGGTGTCTCCCATACAAATGCCTTCTCCTTGTGCCATAGCCCCCGGCTACACCCATGCTTACCTCAGCTTGACAGTAATTGCAAGTTGCATGCCATATGTCATCTTCGAGATTCTTTTTTGTAAAATGAAACATAAACAAGTCGGGTCTTAATTGTTTTTTAAACTTACCATTTTTTACTTGTGAGGAAGAGCCAGTGCGCGCTGCTCCTACTCATCGTCGGCGGCACCTCCTCCTTGTGAATCGTCGTCTACCGAGACTTCTTCATGAACTTCTAAACTTCTAGAATGTTATCTTGTGCTAGAAGCCGCCCTCGGTGTTGTAATAGAAGTTGCTCCATCGATCTCCTCATTAGTCATTGCGTCCTTAGGATCATACCTCGTTTGCCAAAAATCATTTGTATCTCAGGCTCAGGATGAAAATGTTGATCCTATGGGGCGTTCTCCACGATTTTGGAAAGTAGAAAAATTAATTAAAAACATCTTTCTTACGATTATGTGATCGACTATCCAAATAAATAGACTTTCTAGAGCCTGACATTATGAATGGAATAATATGATTATTGAATAATATGAATGGATAAGAGAGTAGTAGTAGTAGTAGTAATAGTAGTGTAGATAGTAAAATGAGGAAGATAGGTATTGAGATAGTTGAAGTGTATTTATAGTCTTTTTTTACCCCACCCACCCTCTCCCACCCCCACCTCCAAACGGTCATATTATCCATTTAGGATTGTTGGACTACAACCAATGGGAAAAATAAAAGAAAATGAAACTAGCCGTTGGGACCAAATTGGAATCGGACCGCCCATTCTATCCCAAAAAAACGAACATGGGACCAGATACCATTGCCCGCACAATCCGGTTCCGGCCTTGATTCAGGACCAGAAAAGCAGCCCCATGTCTGGTGCAGCTTTACCCTGAGTGGTCCTGGTCCATGGCCGGTGACCGTTCCACCCCTATTTGTGTTTTTGATACTAGTATATCAATATCTTTTTTTGGATAAACATGAGGAATATTAATATTTAGTTGTACGAACTGTAGTGATTAATATGTTGTCTCAAGTCCTAACATGTAAAAACTACTCCCTCCATTCTTAACTTTGCCAAGTTTGACCGGCACAGGGATTAATAAAATAAAAAACTTGTGGTTGAAATTTGTACAGAAGAGAGAAAATTAACTGGAACCACAAACTCATTACTTGTGAGGGAAATTCACAAAGTTAATGGGACATCCAAAAAAGAAAATTGACAAAGTTTTAAAGGACAAAGAGAGTATTTGATAAATCAAGTGTTTCAAATAGCTATAAAGAATTAAGAAAATGTGAAAACAGTTTTATTTGAAACAAGGGATAATTTGAGTTTGCATCCTATTTTATTGTCTAAATTGGACTTTGCACCCCGTTTTTAAAGATCTTTATATTTGCACCCCAACCCCTTATGAAAAGACAAAAATGTCCCTCTATCAGGAATATGTTAAAGGTCAACAGAATTGTTAATGGAGGGGCATTTTTGTATTTTCATATGGGGTTGGGGTGGAAAAACAAATATTTTAAAAAACAAAGTGCGAAGTCCAATTTGGACAATAAAATGGGGTGCAAATTCAAATTATCCCTTGAAACAATTATGTATTTATTTATTTAAATTTGATTTTCAAAATTAAATGTTCTTAAAAACGAATGTAAAGAATAGTGTGGGGTTTAGATAAATTGAAAACTGAAACCTTAAATTCCCATTTTAGGACTGTTTGCGTAATCAAAAAGAATTTTGAAACTCATTTCCCTAATTAACGAAAGCTTTGGATATCCAATTTTTCCCAAGGGATTTCATGATGAAAAAATGTGTCTATTATTCAACTCTTTAGTGGATTTTTGAGATTTCTTCTCAGTGAGCGTTGTGAACTTGTGATGTTTGATAATGCAATTTATTATTAAAATGGATTGCATTTTATGTTTATATTTTATAGTAATATATACTAATTTCTAAATATGAACATATTGATGGTATTTATCCATTCAAAAAAATTGATGCTATTTATATGCACGTGTGTGTGTGTGGAAAAATGTATACACGCACGGAAACGTATATAAAAATATGAATTGTATCTTTATGTTTTTGAATATTTACGTGCTTCTCCCGCATTCTCTATCCCGTATCTCGTCAGTACTTGAGGAAGAGAACATACGTTTCATGTCAACATAAGTTTAGGACCCCTAAACAATATCATTTGTGTGATAGCGATATTAGCTTCTTTATTCGTCAACAATGGAAATCTTGTTGGCGTTTACAAAGGACGCACGGAGTATCACCCACAAATCACATATTTATTCTATTAGTACTTCCATTTCTTTGATTTGGGCAGTTGTACAGCAACATTGTTAAATCTGCAACAAAAAACATAGACTTTTAACGAAACATTTGCTGCAAATAACAAGCTATAGAAAAATCACCTGAAACTTTCTTGAAACCATGCACAATGAGTTGTTAAATTTTCAAGCACATCATAAACCACACTTCCTCAAGGAAATCGCCTTTTCCTCCTTGATTTTCAAAACCGTCCATTACACGATTGCTCATGGCTCCAGTTTCATTACCAAGCTCTCTCTCTCTCCCTGCTCGTCGTCGAGATCCAGCAACTTTCCTGCCTCATATCAATGGCTCTCTGGCAGCCTGTTGCATGATCAAAGCAACTTTCCTTTTTACTTTAATTTTGTTTTGCAAAGACATTCGTGGTGGAGTCTGTTTGGACTCTATCAAATATTAGAGAAAATTTAAGGAAAGAAATTGTGTGGAAATAAAATACATGCTAGAACTCAATGACTTTATTATAGATATTTGTTGATTCTCATTTTTGTGCCTGTTAAGACTGAGAAATGTATATAAGCCAAAACTATTCATATAACATTTCCCTTGCATTTTCCAAAATAAAATCAAGCACAAGAAAATTACTTCTGACGCTTTTCCCCCCTTTCCTAGCACTGTTAATGCTTCAGCACAGTAAAAATGGGGTGACATAATATGGGGGGGGGTGGATGATAGAAAGATACCGCCATGGGAATTCACTAGTGTCAATCCCAGCTTGATGAAGCTCAGCAACATACTGCAGGGCTTCTCTACATTCTTCCCTGTCGTCAAAGAACTCTTTCTTATCACCTTCTACTTGGTACGTCTCATGGCCTTTACCAGCAACTACCTGCAATTGCAGTGATGAACCGAGAGAGGCATATGCCCCCCAAGCTTTAATAAGGATTTGTTTGGTTGGAGGAGCTTATTTCATTACTCTTTTTTTTCAAATACCTGGTGAGTTTCCAAAACCCATGGATTTCGGGGTGAGGGCCAGGGAACACCTCACCAATTTATTAGAAGAAAAGGGAGGTTACAAGGAGTAGGAGGAGCTTATTTCATTATAACCTTAAAAAGGCTTATTTCACATTTTTATACGCTTCTTTTGAATATTTTTTCAAATAAGCTCTATGAGATTATCGTTTATATAATTCCATGGCAAATCTCTTTCTTATTCTAAACTGTTTTCAACTTTTAGTACTATAAGTTAACTTATGCTAACCTGTCAGCTACTCCCTCCGTCTCATTCAAAAGTTCTCACTTTCCTTTTTTGGACGTCCCAGTTAAGGTTCTCATTTCTATTTTAGGAAACAATTAACACTCTTACATGACAATTTAATCATCAAATATTAAAAATAATACATCTATAACATCACAATTATCATTAATAACCCCATTATATTATATACTCGTCAAAACTATTTCTCAAAAAATAATCGAATTGGCATATTTCATTGTGTAATGGAAACCTTTGAACGGGATGGAGGTAGTACTATATTTAGTCCAACACTAAGTGTGTGTTTGTTAGAGCTTAGTTTGGAACATGATAGAGTAAGCTCTTGCTTAAAAAGCTATCTCCTGCATCATTTAAGAAATTGGCTTCTAGGTTTTTATTTATTAAAGCTAATAACCTTTATTGTTTTACAAAAAAAAACATGATACTAAAACCCTTTATCCATCTACTATAGTAATAAACATAAGGGATGTCTTTTGTTGTTGTTTTCAACATAAATAAGAGAACTCATGAAGAAGCGGGCTACAACAAATGGAACTTACAACCATGTCACCATCCTCACCCATTGCAACTGCACAGCGTACAGCTACACTTCTGATATCATGAAGGAAGAGTCTATGGCCATTAGGGAGTGGTGGGTAATAATCATTCTCTCCATATTTCAAATAATCCTGCATACTCCACCCTACACCAGCCAACATGTCATCCAAGATGTCCACTGCCCAGGGAATAACACATCCAAAAACAAGGGAGCCATTATCAGTATACTGTGCACATTTAGAAGAATTTGGTGTAAGCTAGGTTATGTTCATTCATCCTCCCAATGATGATAACTTACGCGGATCTTCATTCTTTGGATTGTCAGATGTCAAAATTGTTATATCACTCTTATCAGTAGCTATTTTTGTCATCATGGGCCTCTTCCCCCTATCACTCTCACCAGCACAGCCAAATACTTTAGCCAATAAACCAATAAGATTATTGTCAGTCTATAGAAGATGAAACAGTTTTGCTCACGCGTGATAAAATATAAGGCTTGGATGTTGTTGTTGTGGTGGTGGTGATAAAATAAAAAAAGAATACAACAACATCCAAACCTTAGTCCTAGAAGATAAAATAAAAGAATAATAACACAGAAAATTTATTTTTTCCCCAATAGAGTAAAGGAATAATTTTTCAGTGAAGATTACATGTATCATTCAACTATTTTTGCTACAAATATGTATTCAAATATTTACACCCATGTTGTAAACATTTGATATTTATGAGATTTTTCACGTCAAAAACTTTTTTCATTACATTAAGTTACATATACAAAAAAAAATGTTTTTTTTGTAAAAAAAATAAAAAATAAAATTAACGGCTGATTGTGCACAAAATAAACATCTCTTTAAAATATACTCACGTATAGCTATACAATTAAGTTATAAAGCATTACATGTGAACTTACCCATTGTTTTTGGAATTCCACTTACCGGAGGCTAATGTCAACATAAATTCAGTTACTCCGTACTTATTAGCACAAAAAAGCACCGAAATGAAAGCAAGTGATAAATACCCTACCATTAAGCAACAAAACGCATACCAGTGATAATCCTCCGTGGACTTAGCTCTCTAACATAATCAAGAAGTGTAGATAACGAACGAGGAGTATGAGCATGATCCACAATAACTCCATAAGCTTGTTCCTCGTCAATCAATTCACACCTACCAGGAACCACATCGACCTCTTCGACACCTTTAACAATGTCCTCTAAAGGTGCCCCGACGGCAACACCAACCGCCACAGCTGCAAGTATGCTATAGACACTTCGCCGCCCGAGCAATCCGGAAGAAATCTCCAATATGCCCTTAGGTGTGTTCACCAATACTGTTGTCTCAAATAGAGACAACTCAAATTTCAAGGGGTGTACATCAGCCTTTTTGTTCTCCACTGCAAAGGTCACGACCGGCACACTAAGATTTCCTTGTGATATGAAAAATGCCGCATTTGGATCATCGATATTCACCACTTTGCGGTGTCTCTCAGGGTCAACCATCCTTGTAAACAATTCAGCAATAGCATTCCTCCTATGCTTCAACTCCTCATCATCATCATCTTCGTTGTGGAAATCATCCAAATGGTCCTGAGTAAGATTTGTAAAAACAGCAATATCAAAATCGACCAGTTCATCACAACTACCAGAAGCATCCATCACTAAAGTCTCTGTTCCATTATGCAACATCTTAGCCATCAACTTCTGAACCAAATGAGAATCAGAGGTTGCAATTGGGGGCTCTATATCCTCCATCTTATTATCTCCGTGAATATAGTAAGCCACTGAGCTCAGCATCCCAGTCCTTAACCCCATAGCTTCATACAATGACTTAATCAAGTATGAGGTAGCAGTCTTGCCATTACTTCCTGTGATGCCAATCACAGACATATTCTTAGACGGGTGCCTATAAAAGATAGCCGACAAGATGGGAAGAGCCGCATCAGTGTCATCTACAATGACCAACGCTTTGTTATGCCCAACATCAACAACTTCTTTACTAGCTACTATAGCAGAAGCTCCTCTCTTGCTAGCCTCAGATAAGTATACGTGCATATCATCATCAGCCTTCTCCGTCCTCCCTGTACAACACACATACAAATCCCCGCTCTCAACCAACCTAGAGTCGTGCTGGACCCCAGTGACTTCCACATCTATATCCCCATACACTGAAATGGGCACTATTTTGCTCTCATCTAAAAGTTCAGCCAAACTCATCCTAAAAGTGGGTTCTACGATTCTTGGCCTAGTTTTACTGATATTGTCAAAATCAATGTGAAATGATGATAAATCAGAAAATTCGCCTTTCACCTTGTTTTGGGTGCTCTGCTCTTGACTCTCAGCACCGCCTGCTGATATCTCAGTCAGCCCAGTAAGCTCTCTGATTTCATCCATATCGATCACCTCCTCTGGATCCAGCTCGTCGATGACTTCTAATTCTGGAGGGGTGGCCTTCTTTGGATTGGGCTTCAAGAGACCTTGCTTCACAAACTCCTTTCTTTTCAAAGCAATGGCTTTGTCAATTTCACCGAAGAAATCGTCTTGGCCGTCGTCCACAAGAGGGTCGTCGGGCGAGTCCTCAACGTCAGCGATGGCGTTGAGAAAAATGGACTGCTCGTTCTTAGCCCGCTCCTCCTGCTGCTTTCTAGCTCGGGCAGCTTGGCGGTGGATCTGCTGGAACTTACTGACTCCGTGCATGGAATCCTCGGGAGCTTCTGGCGGGTCGTCGTCTGATGGGGTTGGGTAGAACTTGCCGTCAGGGCCGATAGCAGTAGTGAGTGGCAGCCTGAAGCGCAGCGGGGGGGAGAGCAATGGGGATCTGAGAGTGGAAATTGGTCTGGGTGAAGGAAACAGTGGGAGAGAGAAAGAGCCAAGAGCCATTTGCTCTGAGCAGTAACGTTCAACTGTAACCAATCTATGCACTAGTGCAGACAGAGCATTGTTTGCAAGTTGATGAAGTCACATTTGTTGAAGTTTTGGGCGTGCGCTCAATCTCGCCCAGAAAATCAGTGTTGCTTCCTATCGTCATTCAACGTGTCCAAGCTATCGGAATTCGGAAGGGATGGTTAGGTGCTTGCTACTAACTTTCTTGTTCGTTCTTTTAAGCATGTAAAATGTATATTCAGTATTGCAGCATGCCAGCATATACTTTAGCTCGGTCTTGTGAGCTTTACTCTAATAGGATTTTTTGTGAGCAGAACCCGAACCCACCCGAACCGAAAAGCCCAGCCCATGTTTTAAGGGTTATGGGTTACGGGTAGGGTATTATAAATGGCTACCTGACCCGCCCGAAAACCCGAACTACCCTAAGTATATATACTTATTATTTTGCCCTAAATCCAACCCTACCACTTCAGCGCCTCCACTCTTCACTCGCAACTCCCTCTGACCATCTCCCCTACTCCGACTTCTCTCTAACCATCCAGCTTTTACCATCCAGCTTTTACCATTCTTCGGTAGTCCGTTAGTCCCTCACTCCCTGTAAATGTGTAATGATCCGACCTCTGTAGTCTGTACGTATTAGCCTTTCTGCCTTGGTGGAAGCCGATTATAGTGTACCGGCCTTGTGGATTTGTGGAAGCTTGCAAGTTGCAACCCATTCGATTATCAGAATTCTTTGATCTTTCTTAGGTATAAACGTTAAATACTTAAATTGTATGCTTGGTCCGCTTGGATTAACCATTTCATGCATCTCCCGATCTGAAAAATTGGCTTTGAAATGTGCTTTGGTGGAAGCCTGATCCCTAAATGTGATGTGTTATCAGTTTTGTAAATGAATTAGTTGTGTTATTTAGATGAAGTGTTATGTGTTTGGTGGAAGCTTGAAACCCTTGATTCAGCCTGTGAAACCCTTTGTATGAACTACCTATTAATTTGTGATGCCTTGATGATGCCTATGTGATTCTGAGATTATTATATAAATGGCCTCTGAGTAAAGATGATGGTTGATACAATTTGCTGAGTAAAGAGCTAAAGATGATGGATGATCTGTTCTGACAAGTGTTGAGGTTGCCTTTTTTCTACTCAAACACTCAAACGAGTAGTTAGAGTGAACTGGTATCTTTTAAGTCTGTAGAGAAGTGAATAAGCCAACTGCTCATATCCTTCTGTAGATCAGCTTGCTGATTGTTCCAGACTTTAATGTGAATGTATGATGTTGTGTTCAATCTGGAAGCTTGCATTGAGTTTTTTGAACTATATATTCCTATGACTTATCAGAATGGAAGTTGAATGTATGGATACCATACCTGCATCTGGTTCTCAACCTCCTCTGACTCTTGTTTCCCAAGAACCTATGGTGGAAGCTAATGATGCTGGGGCTAACACCAGCACACAACAGACAAATGTTCCTGGAAATAAGAGAATGGAGGTAGAGTCCAAATCTAAAATATGGGATCAGTTTGTTAAGATCAAAGATAGTAATGGTGTCGTTATCAAAGGAAAATGCATACATTGTGCTAAAACATATTGTTGTCAGTCTAAGAAGCATGGCACTTCCTCAGAAATCACATATTTGGTTGTCTGAAATTGCCTGCCTCAAAGGATGCTAGGCAAGCCCTTCTCACTTTCCAACCAGTCCAGTGTAATCCAACATCTAAAAAAACTGGAGTATTAGGGACTGGGGTGTTTGATCAGGGTGCAATTAGGAGAGCACTTGCTGAAATGCTTATCATTGATGAGCTGTCATTTAGATTTGTGGACATACAAGGATTTAGGTAGTTTATCTCTGTAGCTTGTCCTAGGTTCCAAATTCCTTCCAGATGGACAATTGCTAGAGACATCTACCAAATCTTCTTAGATGAGAAAGTAAGTCTGAAAAAGTTGTTTAGGGAACACACTCAGAGGGTCAGTATAACAACTGACACATAGACCTCTGTACAAAGGATCAATTACATGTGTATAACTGCACATTTCATTGATAATGAGTGGAAGCTGAATAAAAAAATAATTTCCTTTGTTCCTGTGACTTCCCACAAAGGAGAGTACTTAGCTAAAGCCCTAGAGTCTTGCCTAGTAGATTGGGGATTGAAATCTATCTTCATTGTGACTGTTGATAATGCTAGCAGTAATGACACTGCAATTGGTTTTTTTTTACCTTTTATCTTGGGGTGCCTCTTCTGTAAAAGTTAAGTACCTTCATATGAGGTGTATTGCCCATATCCTTAATTTGGTTGTCCAAGATGGTTTAAAAGAAAGTGATTCTTCTGTTCACAGAGTCAGGGATGTTGTCAAGTATGTTAGAAATTCTCCTGCTAGGCTTCAAAAATTCAAGGACATTTCAGACTTAATTGGAATGGAAACTAAAGTTGGATTGCACCTAGATGTCCCAACTAGGTGGAATTCTACCTATTTAATGCTCAAATCTGCAATGTCCAATGAAAAAGTGTTTGAAGCTTATGAGGAGAATGAGAGTTCCTATCATGTTGATCTGGGGAGTGAGAGTCCTGATGCTTGGGACTAGATTGCAATTGCAACTTTGGTGGTCATTCTTAAAAAAATTTATGATATGACACTTAGGATTGCAAGCTCTCTTTATGTCACTACAAATACCTTCTTCTCTGCAATATCTGATCTGTTCCTTGTTCTCAAAGAGATGGTTGCTTCTGAAACTGAATCTGTATCTAAAATGGGGACTAGAATGAAATCCAAACTGGATAAGTACTGGGGTGATCCAGAAAAAATGAACATGCTCGTTTTCTTTGCAAATGTGCTTGACCCTAGAGACAAATATGAATACACGCCACATCAATTGAATGTTTTGTATGGGGATAATATAGGTGAGGCATTCTTTGCAAAGATAAAGCTGGGTATGATTAAGTTGTATGGTGATTATGTTACAAACTATGATGTTTCAGTCAGTGGAAGGTCTCAATTAACCCCAAATTCTGTTTCCTTACAATATGAGTCAACTGGAAGTAGGCATGTCTTTAAATTCAAAGCCTTATTGAAAAGGCAAAAACAAGATATTGGCCTCTTAGGGTTGAAAAAATGAACTTGAACTGTATTTGAGTGAGAACATTCTTGAGGAGGACAATGCGATGGTGGAAGCTAAATGGTGAGAGGTTTCCTATCCTATCTAAGATGGCAAGAGACATTCTTGTTGATCCTATTTCCACAGTAGCTTTTGAGTCCACTTTTAGTACAAGTGGAAGGGTGTTGGATTGTTTTAGGAGTTCATTGAGTGCCAAAATTGTAGAAGCACTCATATGTGCTCAAGACTGGTTGAGGATGGCCAACCAGACTGTGTCAGTTGAAGAAAATATTGAGGAAGTAGATAGGCTGGAAACAGGTACAAACTTTTACATTTTTAGTATTCAATATTTATATTTGAAGTTATTGTTAACTTAATTTTGTTTTCAATGCAGAATTGACGGAAGGAAATGTTGGTGGAGGCCCTTCTCTTGATCAGATAGTAGTAAAACTTATACTTTATCTTTTATATGTTGTAATATGTTACTTCACTAATGAAATGCTATGATTTTGTCAATGTCCCGGTTGTAAATGCCTAACCATGTTGCTTTGATGGTAATTGGAAGTGTTGCTGATTCACTGGTACAATTTCACCTCATTAGTGTGTGTGACAACAAGACATGGTAATGTTGTTTCACTCTATACTATTTGTTCCGGTGTTCCATATTTATGGCAATGATGATAGCTTCCACCAAGTAATGAAATTAATGGTAGTTGGTGTTGATTCTATTTATATATAGTTTCAATGCCCCCATTAATAGTGAAGTGAATGCAAATTTGAGTCAAACTTTGCCCCTGCTACTTTCACTTTGTTGGAACTACTTAAATTTGATAATGTAACCATATACTATTTGTTCTAGTATTCCACACTTATTACAATGATGATAGCTTCCACCAAGTAATGATATTAATGGTAGCTGGTGTTAATTCTATTTCTATATAGTTTCAATGCCCCCATTTATAGTGAAGTGAATGCAAATCTGAGCCAAACTATGCCCCTGCTACTACCACTTTGCTGGAAGTACTTGAATATGAATTTATGATATATGAAAAAACAAATATTGTATCTGCATACTATTTGTTCCAGTGTTCCATATTTATGGCAATGATGATAGCTTCCACCAAGTAATGACATTAATGGTAGTTAGTGTTGATTCTATTTCTATATAGTTTCAATGCCCCCATTAATAGTGAAGGGAATGCTAATCTGAGCCAAACTATGTCCCTGTTACTGTCTACTAGCACTCTGCTGGAAGTACTTGAATATGATATTGTATCTGTATACTATTTGTTCCAGTGTTCCATATTTCTGGCAATGATGATAGCTGTCACCAAGTAATGAAATTGATGGTAGCTTGTGTTGGTTCTATTTCTATCATTCTATGCACTTTCCTATGCCCCCATTTACATTAATTGTTTACTTATTTCTGGCAATGATGAAAGCTGCTACTCTGCTAGCCTTCTACACTTCTACCAGGTTGCAAAAACAAATGGGTTGGTGTTGATTCTATTTCTATATAGTTTTTAATGCCCCCATTTTTTGTGAAGTGAAGCTAAACCTGAGCCAAACCTGATTGTATATAGTATTCATACATATATTTTTTGAAGTGAAGCTAAATCTGAAACCTAAACACTACACTTCTACTAATTTTTTGACTTGTCATGTACCTAGGAACATATTCAATGAGTATTTTGTTACTGGTCTGCTACACACATGGAACTATGGAAGCAGGAAAGTACATGTCAAGATCTGGAAGTTAAATTTGTTGTTATGTCAAGCAGGAAAGTACATGTCAAGATATGGAAGCAGGAACCATGGAACTATGTTAATTTTTTTGTTGCTACTTACTATTTTGAAACTTTGGAACTTTGGATTACTCAAACTCTATTCTCAAACTGTATTATGTATAGGTATTTACGTAACAACTGTATAACTGCATAACTGTGTTTGGAGTTGTACAAACTAAAAGTACAAACTCTATTATTTTGCTACTTGTTAGTTGTTACTTGTATTCTAATTTAATGTTGTATTGTTGTACAAACTTATAATTTTAATGTGATATTGTGAATTTCTTATGATGTTAATATCATAATATTTTACTGCCTCCGTCCCGTTGGACTTTGTCAAGTGCAAAGTAGATGAGAAATAAGAATAGTAAAAACTGTGTGGTTGA